CTCCATCCTAATTTTCACGGACGGCCTGTCTCCCCTATCAGCTGGATATTCCTTTTATATCCCGGATTTTCATATTTCCTTCTCTAACAATCTACCTCCCACCTTATCCTCTTTCACARCTGAATTGATGCACTCTACACAATTTTATCTGTCCTGTCTTCAAGCCCTCTCCTCTAATGTTTTCAAATCACAACTCTCTCCTCTCATAATCACTATCAGACATATTTTATTCTCCCTTACGGAATCTAGCTTGGACATTCAATTCATATGGGTACCAGGCCACACTGGAATTGCGGGAAACGAATTCGCTGACAAACTAGCCAAATCTTCTGCTTCCCTCAGATTCCCTTCAAGTACGAAAATTCCATGGACTGATTTTATCCCCATTCTCAGGTCCTGTACATCTAATCTAATCTTTGGATTAAACATTGGGGTTCACTCCCTACTCACTTCGCCACTTGGTACAGAATGATATCTCCAACCATACCAACACTACCATAGTTTCATAAYCTCGATCTTTCTCATAAATGCATAACATCGTTCTCCCGCCTCCGGTTTGGACGCACACGTTTTCCTTCTCATTCCTTTTAACTGTCACTGAACGATTCCTCTCTCTGCACGCTACACAATGACCCAATGGTCTGTGATATAAACCATCTACTCTTCATCTGTCCCAGCTTATCCACACATCGTGACCACCTATTATMTATTTTTAGTACCTACAACATCCCTTTCGATTCTATAAGTATACTTTCAAACCAACAAAAAAATATCATATTAAATATATTATCTTTCTTTAACCATTTATGCTTTTTAATCTAATTTTATATTGTACTGTTTCTATTGTATTTGTAACGGTATTTACTGTATTTGTATTTTGTAATTCGTAATTGTTGAAACTAATTGTATCCACAAAGTTTAAATAAAAAAAAAAACTTGAAAATTTTTGGGAAATTTGACCTTCCCAATGCACCAACTAGATTCAATTTCCCATCTGAAAAGATACTAAAGTTGAAAATTGAAAA